TGAGAGGAAGTGCAGTGCACAAGAACCAAAACTCCATCTTGACTATTGACAGAGTTATTGCCCTTTGTTACTTTTCCTTGTTCAGAGCATAACTTGAAAACTACTGTTTCATTATAACTTCATACAATGGTCAAGCACATTGAGAAAAAGGGCAGTGTTCAGGAACCATAACTCCATCTTGACGCATTACTGAGTTACTGCCCTTTTTTACTTTTCCTTGTCCAGAGCATGACATGAAAACTACCGGTTGGAATTCAAAACAACTTCATAAAATGGTCAAGCACAATAAGGGGAAGTGCAGTGCACAAGAACCATAACTTCATCTTGACTAATTACAGAGTTATTGCTCGTTGTTACTTTTCCATTGCTTTTTTTGTCCGGAGCATATCTTGAAGACTAATGGTTGGAATTCAATATAACTTCATACAATGGTCAAGCACATTGAGAGGAAGTGCAGTGCACAAGAACCAAAACTCCATCTTGACTATTGACAGAGTTATTGCCCTTTGTTACTTTTCCTTGTTCAGAGCATAACTTGAAAACTACTGTTTGGAATTCAATACAACTTCATACAGTTGTCAAGGACATTTAAAGGAAGTGCAGTGCACCAGAGCCATAACTCCATTTTGACAAAATACAGAGTTACTGCCCTTTGATACTTTTCCTTGTCCGGAGCATATCTAAAAAGGTACTGGTTGGAATTCAAAACAACTTTATACAATGGTCAAGCACAATAAGAGGAAGTGCAGTGCACAAGAACTATAACTACATCTTCAGTATTTATAGAGTTATTGCCCTTTTCCTTGTCTTTCTGGACTTATTACAGAGTAATTCAATAAATGTTCATCAATGGCCAACCACATTGAAAGGAAATGCAACATACAAGAACCACAACTATCTTTAATTGCCCACAACCATAACTCTATATTTCAATTCTTTTACAAGGTATTCTGTTACTAGTAACATCCTCATTTCCGAAGCAGTCTTGTGGGAGTATTAATCACATTAAGTGATAGTTCTAGTATTGTTATTAAAAAGAGATCATGAATAAATTGAGACATTGGTCATCATTTTGTGCAAAGAAGGGTGTACAAAAACGAAATTGCAACAAAATCGGACAAATTATGTTTAAACGGTTGGTTGTAGAATGTGAATGTTTTTTTTTACGAAATGTCCTAGACTTTTTTTCTTAGACAATTAATCGCCGGTCCAAAAAGCGACAATTTTATGCGGCCTCTTGCTATCATTTCCCTTGTGGTAGCTAGTTCTAGAGCCTAATTTTGCTGTGAAGAAGACCCTCTTCATCATCACAATCTCTTGATCATTCCAGGTTTTTTTTGTAAGTACGCAGCGTTCATTTTACAACGGCTAGCTGTGCATGACGTCAATTCCTGAAATAATATGCTCTAAAGCGAGTTTTCCTCACAGACCACTAAATAACATTCTTATTAAGTTGTGATTGATCAAAATTATGTAAAACAAAGTTTCAGTAAGGTTTTAATTTTGCCAATTTTCAGTAAATCTATGGCTGTGCGGAAATCTCCCGGACATATTGTTTGGGTTTGGGCTTTAATTCTCATATTGTGCATAGAGGACAAAGTTGTACAAAATGAATTTGCAACGGAATCAGATAAATGGTGTTTTAACGACTGACTCTAGAATATGGTGTTTTTTAATACACCTTATATAGACAAAGAACAAATCGTCGTTCATAAAAATGGCCATGCCTAGCGGAAATCTCCAGGACATATTGTTTGGGTAAGGGCTTTTTGTGCTCATTGTGTACAAAGAAGACCCTTAAAAGTTGTATAAAAACGAATTTTCAACGTAATCAGACTCATGGTGTTTAAACGGTTTGCTTTAGGATATGGTATTTTTTTGCGAAAATTCAATCACTTTATATAGAGGAAGAACAAAACGCCGGTCCAAAAAAATGACCATGCCATACGGAAATCTCACGGACATATTGTTTGTGTTAGGGATTTGGTCTTCATTGTTAGAAAAGAAGACCCTCCGAACTGTGCAAAAATGAATCGTTATCGGGACCAGACAAATGGTGTTTTACCGGTTGGATCTAGAATATGGTGTATTTTTAGAAAAAAAAATGCCTTTTATATATAGAAAGGAAAAAACGCCGGTCAAAAAAATGGCCATGCTATGCGGAAATCTCACGGACATATTGTGCTAGGGATTTGGTCTTCATTGTTAGAAAAGAAGACTCTCCGAAGCTGTTCAAAAATGAATCGCAATCGGGATCAGACAAATGGTGTTTTACCGGTTGGATCTAGAATATGGTGTATATTAAGAAAATTATAAACATTTTATATAGAGAAAGGAAAAAACGCCGGTCAAAAAAAATGAACATGCCATGTGGAAATCTCACAGCATACTATTTGGTTTAGGGCTTCGGTAATCATTTTGTGCAAAGAAGACCCTCCAAGGGTGTACAAAAACGAAATTGCAACATAATCGGACAAACTATGTTTAAACGGTTGGCTGTAGAATATGAATGTTTTTTACGAAATGTCTTAGACTTTTTTTCTAAGACAATTAATCGCCGGTCCAAAAAGCGACAATTTTTTGCGGCCTCTTGCTCTCATTTCCCTTGTGGAAGCTAGTTTTAGAGCCTTATATTGCTTTGAAGAAGACCCTCTTAACCATCACAATTTCTTGATCATTCCTCTTGTTTTAAGTACTCAGCGTTCATTGTACCACGGCTAATTGTGCATGACGTCAATTGATGAAAGAACCTGCTCTTAAGCGAGTTTTCGTCACAGACCACTAAGTAACATTCTTATAAAGTTGTGATTGATCACAATAATGTAAAACACAGTTTCTGGAATGTTTTGACCTTGGCACAGAATCTGAGGGCACTGAAGGCAATCACGAAATAAAACAAATTTGAACTGGTTGAAGTAAAGCACACCACTCGTCGCATTAGGTGTATCAATTATTTTTGCATTGTGCTCTGTTAGCATGATCACCATATGCTGAACTCATTGATATGGTTCCAGAGTAGCCTTCCCAACATTTGTTGATAAGCAATTTCAAAATTGTTACAGCCTTATTATCATTTTGACATTTACATATTGTATAATTATATATTTTAATATACACATAACCATTGTCATGACGAATCCCAGTTTGAGGATTTATAAATCTTTGAAATGGTCTTACTGACACATATATGTCATATATTATATAGTGACACTGCCGATACAAATACTGAACATTCTGGGTTTGATTATCATTTAGAATTTTAATATCACAATGTTTTACATAAAGTATAGATGGCCAGAAGTAAGTCATTAATTGCTACTTGACATAAATATCCACAACATCAAGACATGTTGCGCGCAAGATCAAGGTCCGTAGCTCAAAGGTCACACTTAAAGGAGACATTTCATCTGGTCCTGCATTCCTTTACAGATCGTGTCCGGGAAATAACTTTCACAGGGGCGTTCAAGATGTCACACATGACTAAATCGAGAAGAGTTGCGCGCAAGACCCAGTTTCTTTGAAAAAGGTCAATGCCACACGTAGAGTTAGTAAACATGTTATGCATATGTTCACAAAGTGATAAGAAGTTCGTGTTCATGCCAGAATTTTGATATTCGTTGATTTAAAATGACCCTTCATAAATGTTCACACCAGGATATGTCGCTCCCAAGACCTAAATCGATAGTTTAGTCAAAATTAGAGGTTAAATATCACTAGGTCATACCTAGTATAAAAACGGTTATGTCCAGGCCAGAAGTAAGTAATTCATAGATGATTTTAAGATTATTCGGCAGTCCTACATGGCCCGGTGGTAACGCGTCCGCCTCTAGAGGTCCCGAGTTTGATTCCTGAATGAGAGAATGACATCATTTTCCAATTTCAATGTATACTACACTCAGAATATGGTAGTTTCATGTTGTGGCAGAGCATGATTTCAATTATAAACCAACACTATCTTGCAACAAACCAGGACAATGCAATTCAATATTATCACTGCACAGGACAACGTCATTCCGTTTGGCACATATAAGACAGGACAACGTCTTTAAAATTAAACTGAACGATTTCGTCTCTTACTACATCAAATACATGTAAATTTCTATATCCAATTTATCTTCTATATAATGTCCTACTAACACCATCATCATCGGTTGAATCAGAGAATAGTAATCTTTCATTAACCTGAAAACAATGTCAGTTATCTGTTTGTGTGAAATCATATAATCAAATTGAGGATTTTTTATATTTCTTTTGCTGGCTCTTTATTACACCCGTGTTTTCAGTTATGTTGTTTTCTTAAAGACATTCTTTGTTCGTGTCATAACAGATTATATCAAGGTTTTTTCCTCCCATAACTTCGAAGACCTAATGAACGCTAACAAACAAGCTGAAAAATCAATTGTCGCCACATATCTTTATTACAAGCAAATACACGCGGCATAAGTTAACAATATGTATTCTATGAAAATATAACAATAAGGAAATATTGACATTTAAAAATCTATCTCTAATACAAGTACTTTATCTCTGGGTTGTTGCATTTAAGTTTGTCAAATGTCAATTAGTTTGAGTTCAATCTGTTTTCAATATGTAGATATATTGGTGTGATAAAAAATGAAAAGTGTCATATTCTTCCTTTATAAGTGTTGCTATGTATAAAAAAAAATAAAGTTTAAGAATAACAAAGATGTATGCTTTGTAGTACATAATTCTCGTGTAAAGGAAGTATCAAAAAATATGCAGTATGAAATTCAACAGAGTAGAAATATGTTATAAAATATAGATTGATACAAAAGATGAATAATCTAGCAAAATGTGTGAAATACATGGCTATATGCGTCATATATCATAAATAGTTTCCAACAATGACCAAGCTGTTTTCTTATAACATTTTAAATTCTAGCGATTACTAAATAATGTATAACATACACAAAAAGTAAAATCTTTAACAATATGTTCCATTCTTTAATCTTCCCATGTTTATTCATTTAATGATAACCGAACAATTCATACTGGTAATTCGAAAATGTCTGTTCCATTGGGACAATTTTAAAGATCATCGATGTTTTTGTTTAATTTCTATGTTTCTGGAGTTTGACCTGATGCAGATCCATCATAGAAATCTTTTGCAAAGCGCATCATTTGTCTCAAAGCTAAGAGTATAAGAATTTCAATTTTGGTGTCCGTTGCTGTTTCTTTTTCATAATTCTTAATAGGTAAAATATTCCGTTCCTAAAATAAAGCAAACATAGAACAGTTTAGACATATACATATTATTTCGTGATTTATGTCAAAATGACAATAACTATTTCTTACAGTAATTTATTTTTGCACATTGGTAAAATTTATAAAACGCATACTATCAATAGTTTTATAATATCACACACACACACACACACACACACACACGCACACGCACACCAACGCACGCACGCACGCACACACACACACACACTCACTCACATACGCACATAAATATATATGTGAAACGGAAAAAAACAAGTGTATGTGCTAGTTAAGAAAGAACCTGTCGTTATGTAAACTGTATGTTTATGTATAAGGCACAGATCGAATATGTACCATTGTATTCGCTCACTAAAATTCGCCAGTATCGCATTCGATTATGTGCCTACATACTCGTCCACTTTCCCAGCCAGGAAGCTGTGTTTACATAGTCTTCTACTTTCCCACCCAGGAAGCTGTGGCTCGCTTAACGTATGACATGGTTTCCAGTAATTGAGCAACTGTTACAGCATATTGTGGCCAAATGCAACGTTGACTTGACATAAAGAAATAGCGTGCAATTCGAGCATCGTTCAAATATACGACTAACTGCATGTATTAGATATAAACGTTTCGGTTTCAGAAAGAGTAACACTCCTTAGTTTATTTGTCAAATCTGCTGTTAGTATTGCTACCACAGTTAAAATCAACGACGATATCGTATGTCGTTGTGGTAAAATAACCTCCTAAGCAACAGGAGAACTCATTTAACAAAATGGGTGGACGTTCAAATTCAAATCGAGATATCCTGCCATTATATCTGTCTGTCGATGTCTTAACACATCACATTAGCTGGATAATGGAACATGAAACATTTTACGTCTTTAAAAATCCAAAAGTATTTTGTTCCGCCTAATTCCTCGTTTAGAGAACAGTTATTCTTTAAGGTTGGGACTTTACGCATCTTAAAATAAAATGGACCGATATTTTCACAACAAAGGAGCCTATGGAACCATAACCGTCACCAGTTTCGTATTTAAGTGTTTTGTTTTGAACAACATCTTGCAAATACCATAGTCCTCTATGAAGTAATAGCCAAGCCGAGTCAGCAACATTAAGTCCCTCATTTAAATTTGCATGTCATAGACAACGGATCCCGCATTTCTGAAGTCGAGGATGAACTTCACAAGTTTCTGTGTTATATGGTGAATTCAATTGTTAGGTGGTCGATTTATCAAACTAGGTTAAAAAAGACAAAGCAAAAGCGGACAATCTTGCTACGTGAGTACTAACTGAACGTATGTTCCATTGATATTGCTTAAAAACATTTTCTATCAGTAAAGTAACCTTAAAAGCATTTTGTCAGTAGAAATTGAGCCTAAACAAGAACACGATCTTGGTTAATTTTAATAATTTAACAAACATTCTTTTTTAAGTGAATGTTGTAAGCGAACTCTTTGTGTTGAATTTAATTTATAAGATATGGTAATATAAGTTTTATTCTTTTGAAATAGGTGTGTTTAATATGATAATACACGTATCATGATATGATAATCCTAATATTTGAATTTTCATTTTTACAGATGAGCAAGATTGAAAAGAAATGAAAAGTAAAAAAAAAATTGTTGTAATGTTTAACGCTTTAAGTGTTACACGACACCATTACTAAAATCATCCTCAGACAGTCGGATTTAGATGTACAACACTAATAAAGATACGATACACTTTTCAAAACAATCCAACACTTGCATTCAGACCTTGATTCTTTATCCGTCCAAAATAAATCCTTCTGAATGAATCCCTTACACACTTTACTAGATATTATTGAAATATGTGTCAATATTATAATTGTTGGTATTGACCAACGAAAAGGATAGAAGGTAGAATGTTGATAGCATGGAGGAAAAATTTAGGAAATTATAAAGTTCTGGAATGAATCAAATAGCATCCTTAATCTTTTTTTTTTTAATTAAGACGTCACGGTGAAAAATTAATTCTTCTTCATGAGTAATGATGAAAACTCCTCTATTTAAAAAAAAAATAATTTGGGATTCGAACATGCCACAACTTGCCCCCCTTTGGTTTTTCAAAATCCTTTTTACACTTTCTTACTACTATGCTTACATTTTAGACCTAATTGTTCTTGATTTTCATTCATACACTTAATCAAGGGATAATTGAGAAATATGTTACCTATCATCGTGGGAAGTCTATAAATTTACAAGAATTAAAAGATTTAATATGTTCTATCCTGTAATTCAAGTAAAGAGTAGTACAAATTCAAGAAGGAGTATCCTTCATACATTCAAAATTGCTTGTTCTTCTATGTTTATTAGTTGTGTTCATCAAAATCCTACCGTCTGTTGAGGACTTAACTAATCCCTCATAGGCGTCCGTGGCCGAGTGGTTAAGGTCGTTGACTTCAAGCCACTTTCATGTGAGTAAGCTATCCAGCTAGCTTGTGGAACGTCGGTGGTTCTACTCAGGTACCCGTTCGTGCCTGAAATAATGCACGGAAGGTACCTGGGGTGTTCCTCCACTAGTAAAGCTGGAACGTCTCGATATGACCTATGTCGATGTGACGTAAAACCCAAAACAAACAAAAAACTAATCCCTCATACCAATTGTGAATCAGATACAAAACCCAAACAATAACCAAACTACTTGTTATAGTGAATACGTTATAACAGAGAAATGACGTTTTATGTAAACCAACAAAATTAATTTGAATATTATAAAGTATCAATAATGTTCATTCCAATTCATGTACATAAAACATGGGTTGAAAATTACTTACAATTGCTAAGATGTTAGGAATGTTATCAAGGTCGTGAAAATAAATTATTAGTTATATTGGCCGGTAAAAAAAACGTGTTATTATTCCTTCATTGTGAGGTATGTATTTACCTGAACACAAAAGAACTCTGCGGCTCTTTGAACCGCCTGCTTAACCTTTTCACTCCTATATGTATTTGTAACATCGGTTTCAACTGATTGACACAGAACATCAATTTTGGTCAACAATACACATCTTGCAACATCTGTAAATAACGAAAATATGACAAACCTTGCTTCTTCGTTTAAAAAATACAATTTATTTTTTTTCGTTACTAAATTGCAAACGTTGATTGAAGACTGCTCTTTTTATTATGAATTAACTCTTGAACAACCTCGTTTACAAACAATTTACTAGGGTTCGCCGACATAAGTTTTCATTTCAAATCTGTGTTTAATAATAAACAGACACGATAACAACAACGATATTAGTATCAACGGAACAAGAGGAACAAAAAATAAACATATGTGTTGATATGCCTCATATGAATAACTTGCGGAATGAAATAAAAAAGCAAAAAACCGGTAAGAACAAAAGCAATATTCTGACTGGTCATTGGTTACTGAATTGAGTGAATGAATAAACTAACGAATGAATGAATGAATGAATGAATGAATGAATGACATAACATGACATGACACGACACAAATGAAATTAAATCTTTGAGTTCTTAGCTTGTATATATCTTAGTAATGTGTTAAATTTCCCTGCCTAGTAAAGATATTATGTTTATGCAAGATGTCATCATATATCCAATTTTCTCAGGATGATACTATATAACCAAAGTTTCAGCTTTTCTATATTTTAAATAAATTTGTTGGTAAAGTACTTCGAAAGTGATCTAAGGAAACAATTTTTAGGAACGGACAAATAGACGAAATGACAGACCATGTTACAACCTGAATTGTAATAAAACCGGAATTGCAATAAAATTATTACAAAACTGGTCAGGATGCAAAATATTGTTACATTTAGGTTGTCCACCTGAATTGTTATAAAACCCGAAATTGTAATAAACGGTCAAAACTCAAGAAAATGTGGTAAGAAAAGTCTCTTTCACATGCATGGTGTTTAAAAAAACGAATTTGGACTTGACATCGGAATTTTTATAAAACCTTACATGGAAGCGAATTAAAACTAAAAGAAAATACATTTCAAATTTGAAAAACAGAAATGATATCATAAAGTTGATGACAACCTGCATTCTTTAAAGTACTTGACATGCAATACATTCTATGCGTTAATATACGCACAATATATTCCTACGATACCGTGGAGAAATTATTTAATAGTCATATAGCTTAAAAATACCACTAACGTGTATAAACTATCAAATAAAATCTGAAATACATAATTTTGCCATCGTTTACATTCTTGGTGGAATCTGTTAAGAACCGTTCTATTGAAATGCTCATGATATTACACTATGAAACTGAAGTAATGGAATACCTTCGCGTAATGCTTCATCTAGTTCTTTCTGTTTCTGCATTGCTCCGGCTGTTACGTTGTCCTGCCCAAAAATATTAGCGTCCGCTACAAACACAATGCAGTGAATCCTATCGCTTTTCTGGGGGTTTGGTCTATAATAAGCACTGTCTTGTTCGATCGGAGATGCAGGATTAAACTTTTTAAGAAATAAAATTAAAACAATTTGAAATAGTTTTTTTATTTATATTGATAATATGATATTTCCTTTCACATTTTGTCTGTTTTGATAATTAAACTGATTTTTCACCATTTGGATTTTTTATTATTCCCTGACATAGACCCTTTTAAGCCATTGACCTGCAGATAGTAAAATGAAAAACAAAATGAAATAAATTTCAAGATAACGGTTAATACTGATATAGTTGGGTTTATTGTATAAATCCATCATTACTGACACCTTAACTCAAGAAAGAATGTTGACAAAAGCGTAAATATATCGGGGTCATATATTAATTGTTGTTATTGAGAAGGCCCATTACATTTCAAGCTAAAGATAAAATCGATAAATTGGTCATCATATAAATGATATAATTTATGAATTGTAATTTTTAGTACCATAAATTACACAAATATAAAAACAAAAGATGTTATTCGTTGCCCTATATGTTTGATACAATTCCAGATTTGGTGCGTTCCGGAACATAGGTCGCGATATTGTCCTGTACGGTCACCTCCCGGTACGGAATTAGACCCAACCCGTCGTAGGCTAGAAAATAGTTCTTTAAAGTTTTCAAGTGGTCACATTTAAGTCATCTCTAGTAATATTTGCCAAAATTAAAGTGAATTTATTGCATGTGTGTAGTTTTTGTGTGTTATATGATGACTTTAAAAGTTGTTTTTTTGTGTGTATTCTCCAGGAACTCATTTGTTGGCGGTAGGATTACAGATGTACTACCCACCAGCAGTCTGGAGTTTTTAAAGTAGTGAATTTAAACAGTGTTACAACATAATGAAGATTTCTGAAAAAAGTAAATGGCTAACCTATTATATTTTAGGCCTCGTTTGACTAAGATAGTGTTGATGTTTAAAATTGAAGACAGTATGTAATCCATCAAGTACAGTGGAATCCAGAATTAATCCTCAAATGTGACTAATTTATAATAGAACAAAGAATACGAAAAAATCACCGGGCCGAGACCGTACACACACGAATAAAACTAGAAAAAAAAACTGAATGAAAGAATAACGTAGTATAATTAACAAAGGTATTTCCCGATGGCGGTAGAGCAAAATGCTTGTTTTCAGAGCAATTATGTTAACATTTAAACATTTTAAAGTATCATTTCGATTTCTTTCAACTATATGGTGTTTTTTTTGTTTTTTTTGTGTTTTTTTGGCAGGGGGGGGGGGATTTTGAAATATTAGTAAAACGACAGTGTTTCTGCTCTATTCTTGAGGACATCTATTTAAAAGCTTGAGCACTGGGGGTTAAATAATATTTCGCTTATGTCATCGATGATTTGACATATTTGAATAACTTGGCATCATCATACTATTTTAGACGAGAAATATCGGTACTAGGAACTTTTTCACAAACCATGGGATTGAACCCTAAATGACATAGAACTTCAATCATGGGTTAGCTATTATCAATGAATGCGGTTTTTTAATGAGCACGCATTCATCTTTATATCTTACAAGTTTAGAAATGATGAGAGAAACAGTGAAAAACTATGTATGAGTCTTTTTGCATACCTTGTAGCCAGGGCAGATATTTCCCTTTACAAGATAAATAATATCCTTTACATTCAAGCCGAACTGGGCTTCCTCGTATCCCATCGTATCCAATATGCAAATGTTTTTCTTTAAAGCTCCAGTCGGTGTATACTCCTTCAGCTGTAAAGTTACGAAAAGTTCAATAAAATATAAAATTGTTTTCTTATTATTAAAAAACAAAATTATCAGTGATACATGTGGCTTTAACATATTGGTATTTTTTATTAGATGGAAATTACAGTCAATTATGTATACATTATGTTCCATAAATACAAAAAGATAGCTTTCAACATTAAGCATTTTTCGGAGTATTAAACAACAAATCGCGAAAAATCATTTTAACTGTTACACTTAGGTGACTGATAAACATATTTACTGCAAGGTGTCATTATTTTATATATCATTAATTAATCAATCGATTTATCAATCTTACAATAATTGTACTTTCATTATAAAAAGCAAGTTTAAAAATATACATGAAATATGGCAATTTTATAAATTGTCCGAAACCTTTGCAGTCATACTTTTAGGACGAGATGTATATACAGTATGACTCCGGATCAATTCATTCAATAAATGTTCCATGATAATTATGAACAAAAACAATAATGAGGTTTATACAATGGCTTTGATAATATATGTAGATACAACGGTGGAAGATAAGGTTCTTTTTATCGAACCTCAAGCTTTTCAAGTGTTTATTGTTTCGTTTGACCAACATAATGTACTTTTTTGACAAGGTATAAGGAATTCAATATAGCAATGCTTACTAGGTATATAGAACAAGTACAGATATTGCTCCCCCCACCCCAATGAAGAAAAAAAACAAGATGCAATATGTGCATCTACTTATATTTAACCTAAAGCGACAATAAGCATAACCATATAAGACTAACATGATAATGTTGTTACTTATTTAAATTTAAGTTTCTATAACCATAGATTTCAGATTATAAATTCTATGTGTACATTATTTATTTCATAATGATCATTACAGATGCAACATTTCACTTCTGTCAATTATTCTACCTCGATTCCTCATTAAGATGATCGTTGATGCAAGTTTGGTACAAAGAACTTACTTAAACATGAGCCTAGGATCGTGATAATTAGATTTTTACAAGGGAAGATGGCTCGTTCTCGAAAACCATTCAATTACACTTTGAAAAAAAGTTTCCAATATATTTGCACACGTTTGTTATATTTATTTGTTCGATATCCTTGTTGTACACGCATAATGTACGTAGACGTGTGTTAAAAGTACTCTGTAACAGCAGATATCAAACCTTCTCGGATCTTATATTTTCGCACACGCAATATCAAAGTAATGCGCAAACATTTCAAATACCTTTGTATGTACAGTTGTCATTGAAAGTAAATTAACAAAGTCATTTACGAACGAATGAATGGCTTTATTTTACTACATGTAGAAAGCAGAAGCATTAATAAGTCCGGATATTTTCTTATCGTTCCTCGTGTTTAAAACGATAGGGCGTTTGTTTGGATATAAATGTATACGTTTAATATTCATATTAAGTAAACCGATATTAATCGTTTTAAGAAGATTAATGAACAAATTCTTAAACGTGTTATATAATAAACAACAAAATACCGCAAAAGTCAGGCTTTTGTCAGCTCCTCCAGCTCGTGTTATTTCCGCAATTCGGTTTTTGTCTATAGAAGCCAATGTGTTTACAAACGATGATTTCCCAGCTTTGATTTGACCCAACAGCAAAATTCGAATGGTGCCAATGCCTTCATCTTCGAATTTAAGCCCATTTATTTCTTCTAAAAGCTTTTCACGGTACTTACAATGAAGAGAAAAATATACTACGGATAAATACAATTAACATTCTCGAATGCTTTAAGATTATTAAATCGGCTTCAGTTGTGTTAGGTGACTTCAGAAGTTTGTTTATTGTTCGTATATCAGAGAAGCAGACACTTTTATAAAACAATCAAATAATTTTGACGCAGCGTGTTATTAAGTCAATATGAAGGGGGGTATTTTAGAAAACAGAGATACAGTTTGAAGCCATTTTATATTGCTGGCATAACTCACATGGAAATGAAATTGAATATAAGAAAATCTGACGTAATCAAACGATTACGAATTAGCAGACATGTAGTCTTATTGTATTTCACTTTACACTTTTACGAATGACATCGCTTTTTCTATCATATTGAGGGATTATATAGCTATCAACTATTATCCAAAGAAAAAAAAAACATTTACTTGAAATACAATGTCGAGTGAAAACAAGATTCTTGACGTATCATTTTTTTCTCATTTCGCTTTCTCGATGTGTTGCATTGTTCTTTCTTTATGTGTTTGCCTCTCTGTGCCTATTTAAACTGACAAAAGCTGAATTGTGTTTCATCAATGTAGCGTTACTACGGACAACCCCGTTAAATCGCAGTCTCTTGATTGATTTTTAAGCCATTTACTTATGTAATTGAGGTTCATTTAAAGATATATCATGCTTGAAGTTGATACTTGGCAATATTGAAAATTACTACACTGTCTTTTTGTAACTATAAAATCAACGTGTTTCGTCTTTAAGCTGAGAAGTTAGGGTATTTTCTAAACTAGACAGGCTAAAGGTGGCCAAAATATGAAAATAAAGTGTCATTTTAAAAACTGCCGGTCTTTGTAAGAAAGGACCAATTTTACTTAAACTGTAATAAGAAATGAAGTTTCACATATATAGTTTTAACATGGTTCGTTCGTTTGTTTGTTTGTTTCATTTCACGCCTTTTCCCAACATTATTTCAGTCATATAGCGGGTAGTTTCCTAACCATCGATTCTGGAAAGTTACACCAGTACTAGACTACCTTCCTCCGTGCTAAACTACCAAAGCATCTCCTTTGGATCGAACTCACGCCAGAGAGGTAACTGGATTAGAAGTCATCGACTCTTACCCCTCGACCACGGAGGAGGCGGTTCAACATGGTTCAATTCAAATAAGACATATTCAGTAAAAATTTCATGGATTTCAAGAAATTTCTGAAATAACATTATCTTAACCATAAATGAAAATATTATGCCTTTACATTGAATTAAAACAGAAAAATACAGTGTTTTCATGATCTTTTATACTATCATTCTTCAAAAGTATGATTCATTAAAAAAAAATCAATATATATACGTAACAAAAGTGCCGAGAAAAATTACTTGTAAAAACTTTATAAAAAGCAAATACAGAAAAAAATTGTATGAATTAACTTAACATTATCTGCCTAATGCTATAATAAGCCCTTTTTACCTGCCCAACTGCACAATATGTTAGGTCATATGCTAAAAAAAGCGTGAAACACACGAAAGTTTGGCGTTCTATTATCTATGTTTTAATAGTTGTAATGCAGAAACACGACAAATTTCATGTGTTTCATTTGTGCCTGATTTTCTTGTTCTTTCGCTTTACCATCCTGATTACAAACATTAGAAATCGCACACGCACGAGCGCACACACACACGCACGTATGCACACACACAAACGCGCGCGCGCTCGCACACATACACATTATTCGTGTCCTAACGGTGCAACAGTTCTTATTTCTTTTTGTAAGAAAATGCATATACCTCTTTAGTCCAGCTTCCTTCGTCATCTAACTTTCTCCAGGGTTTAGGATCTACAAAAAAGTTGTAAATACAAAGAAAAACAATCTTCAAACAAATCATTCATAAAAGAACCTTTATGTTAACTGACCAACAATCTTATGACTGTTAAATGACATAACTGACCATGCAATTGTGTCAGTAAATAAGCGAAACCATGCTTGAAATACTGTGTGATTCCATTATTTGATTACACATCTAGCACAATTCGCATAATCAATTGAATTGCGCAATTTTTTTCAAAGAAATAGTGTTACAAATACCAGACTAAACAAGCTAATTCAAGTTAGCACCTTTTTGTTTCCATGCGCATTTTACCATATATATTGATTCGATTTTGAGCGTAGGCTGCGCTGTTCAAAATAATATTAACTTTACGGGATGTTGACAATGGTTTGATGGACAATGGGGAATCGGCAGTGAGATACATCCTCAAAGTAGACACATTCCAGGGACCTTTGAATGGAAAGGTTATTGTCAATAACTTATGTATATTTTTGTTAAGGAAATTATGTATGCTAGTGTTTTTTTTCTTCTTTTTTTTTTCCTTTTTTTCTACATGCCCTCCATTTTATATAATATTATCATACCTTTTGTGAGTTCAGGCCTTGTAAAATCTAACAATTGATTTTAAAGTGCTTGTTGAATGTAATATTCAAATATGAACCGGTATTGTATTCATTAGTTTTCATATATGACAACTCACTGTTGCATGCCTTACATTATTGTTTGATTTTTCTTGTCAAAACATATCCAAGATCATATGTACATACAGCTTTGTCTTTATTGCCTCATGGATTGTTTTTTCCCGCACTGTTCACCCATTTAGGGAGTCAAGTGCAGTTCCTGTGTACTACAGGTGTCGCTAACATAACGATTATGTAATGAATACTTTGAATTTCAATGCTGTTCTAAGAATATGCTACTTTTAACTTGATTGTATGTTTATACTCCGTTAATTGCTCCTTTGGTTTTCATGCCAAAGTTATTATTATATAACATTGCTCCCTATAACTTTGCCGCCATTGAATTCCCGCCACATCCATATTCACGTGCTTTTCATGATAGCATTGTATAAATAGAGACCGCATGGTCACAGAAGTGGTGTGTGTTAAAAAAGGATTGTACGAAGGAAAGGGATTTTGTTGAGATATGAAAAGGATTTTGATGTGAAATCTATTTAGTTGTAAAAAAATGTTAGAGACAAAATAAAGGCTTGTTGATTGTAAAAGTAAAATAAAAAAGTGTTTAAAATTGGATATTAAAAGGAGAAACGAAAAAGTCTTTCTCTTACTTTGATTGTATTAACGACATAATAAAAAATTGTCCCGCGAACCGGATACTAAAGTGGATGTAAAGTGTGAAGTAGAAATTAAATTGAGAAGTGACAAAAGGTGTAAAGTGCATTTCAAAGGTGGTTTATTCCTTTGCTCGATTAAGTATTCTGATCAAATTGTGTTTGTGCAACCTGAATTAATATTCAAAATGCCAACTGTTGCTTCATTAAAAGGAATGAGAACGATGTTCAGAAAAGTGGTTATAACTGAGCTTCAAAAAGCAAACGACATTTTGAAAAGTGAGGTGAGTGCAGTGTCAGAAATTGAGTTTTTAAAACATGTTCCAAAGTGTAAACGTCTATTGAAATCCTATTCTGAGAAATTCATGGGTCAAATGGATAAACTACCGGAACGTTTGACTGACAGTTATTAGGAGTAATTACAAAAAAATTGTAGATGAAGATTGCAGTTTTGAATTTCGAGGTGGAAAATTGTATGATTTATTTAGACCAATATTGTGAGTCAATTGTGCCATTGAAACATGATGATAAAGAAAAAGAGACATATCAAGAACATATGCAAAAGATGATGATGGCACAAATTGAACAGCAACATCAAATGATGATGCAGATGCAAATTGACAGAAACAATACAAGTGCAGTTAAATTACCAAAACCTTATTTGGACATGTTTTACGGAAACAAAATAAACTGGTGGGAATTTTCGAATCAATTGTGCAAATAAACACAAAACTATCCAACATAGAAACGTTTAATTATTTACTAAGCAACCTAGGCGGAGAAGCGAAGAGAGCACCAACGACAATTATTCCATTGCAGTCGGAATTCTCCGAGGGAGGTACGGTAATAGACGAGAGATCAGGATGTTCATTACAAAGAAATGGTTAATGTTCATTAACCATCTACAAAGGTTGAAACCCTGCGATTGTTTTGGATAAAGTTAAAAAACTTTACACAGTCTTGAGATGCTAAAGAAAACTGTGAATCAACATGTTTTTGTTTCAATGATTCGTGTAACAATATACCTTTAAAGTTACAACTGATATTGTTGTTATTGTTGTTATTGGTTTATTTATATTCTACTGATGATACTCTAGAAGATATATTAATATATATTTCTTGGCTATAGGAACACCTCCTTACTAGTGATTGGTTAATTGATTTTCTGCGTTGATATTATCGATATACAATTCTCCTTTCGGGGAGAAGCGATAGAGAGACGGATTAGAACAGATCATAAAAATAAATGACCCGGGCTGTTGTCGTAGTTAGGGAAATAAACTTAGAAATGACTTTGTAATTGCTGTTACATGGGGGTTTATTTTGGTGCCGTGACCAGGATTAAAAAAAAATGGACAGGAGTAAATTCTTTTTTTAGTGTGTTTCAAATTTTGAATACACGTGACAATGAAAACACATTGTGTTTTTGCATAAACAGTACGTCTGCAAAGTTGTGCGGAAGAGAAGCCAGTCACTACCTTGAAAATTTCCAAGAAGCTTCATATTTGTGGTGAGTAACTTTGAGTACTTTTTCTGAATTGCTATGGCTGAACGGGAAGAAACGGCAGATCTGTTTAGGCAAATGGGACAGCAAATTTCAGGTTTATCCACTACCATAGGAGCCCAGGGGGTGGCTAAGGCGGTCCCGTCCTTTGAAGGTGATAGCAAGGCCTTCAAGGACTGGATTAGAAGCGTTGAAAAGTATGCAATGTTTGTGGGTATGGCCAGGGGTAGTTTGCGGAAAGTCAAACAAAAACCAGGGGAGTCTTTCCAAGTTTTCCTTGAAAGATTGATTGTTCTCTTCTAATCCCTCTCTTTATCGCGTTAATTAGAATTAGGTTAATGCGTTTTGTTGTAAGGCTTCATATGGACTTTAATGTAGTTCATATTAGAAAAATAGGCGTTAAATGTAGATAAGTAATTACAAACAGTATAAACTCGTTATTTTCGAGTATGTATATAGAGAATTATATCTTAATCAATTGCTAAAGAAAAATACTTCTTTGTATTTGAATAAAAGGTGACCAAAACAATAATGAGAGTACTAGTTCTCAGTGTATTGCTTGTAAGCCTGATACAGTGTGTTATCATAAAGGAAAATGTGATATTTCAGAAAACAAATGACATAACGACATCTCGGGCAAAATGGGTAGCGACTTTTGTGATTGACCTGAGACCTTTTGACAGATTCCTGTCAAAACTTGCAAGTGACATTTCACTCGCAGAAACCACTGCTGATGCAATTATTTCTAAGTATAAAAGTGATGATCATCTTGAATATTTAAATATATTCAAGGCTTTAAAAAAAAAAGTTACATATTTAAATGCAACACAAAACATGATCACACGCAACTTCCTTGATCTCAAATCACTGCGCAAGGCAAACAGAGGAAAACGTTCCTTAATTCCCATTGTAGGAAAAGCATTTCGCTGGCTTTTTGGCTTAACAACTGAATCAGATTTAGAAAACATTAAAGAAAACGTGAACATACTTTCAAAAAACCAGCAACGAGTTATTCACGTTGTAGAACAGTCTATTTCTGTACTTAATTTATCACGTGTCGAGATAAAAGAAAATCGCCATAAAATAATAGAGCTTACAAAAGGGTTACACCAGATGGATTCTAATCTTAGACGTATTTCTAAGGCTTTGGAAACTGAAATATATCACACAAAATTATTCCTTGACTTGTATCTAAAATTGCAGCTAGTCATCGCGGAAATTCAGCAGCTCTTACAATCTGCCCTCTATTACATATTGCATGTACAAAATCAAATTAATTTCTTGAGTTTCGGTCATTAAAGCACTGAAATCATACGTCCACATGATTTACGTTCACTATTAATGCAAATTTAGACACTTTTGCCTCCTATGCTGTCACTTATTGGTGATCCGATGGCAGATCTCTTTTTATTTTTTCGTAATCTGGAATGTGTAGCAATACCAGATGATCAGCAGACACTTATCACAATTTATATTCCATTACTTCGATTCGAGAGCGTTTTTGAAGTTTTCGCTATTTACAGTTTACCTTTACCATATATTCCAACAGCAAACTTTATAATACCGGACAAACAGGACAGAAATATGCATGACCTTAACCTAGTTGCATACCAAGTAGGGAGAAATGCAATGATGATTAATAAAGTAAGAACAAAGTATGCTCTTCTTGATCACGACGAGTTTGAAAAATGCTCACACTCTAAGTGGTGTACTACAAAATCCCAAAAACCCTAAAGGAAGTTAAAGAAATATCCCTTCAAGGTCTTGTATATGAATTAAATTCCATGCAAAGCCTTCAGGCTTTATGTAGGCGCTGTCTCAATTGTCCTTATTATTCTCTCCCTCATTGTATTATGTCTATATAAAAAGGGTTATATGAAATGCCGGAAAATCCCATATTCAGCTCACAGCATGCAGGGAAGGAAAGAAGTTATCTCTCAACCTAGAGAAAGCATCGAGATGCAGACGACATTGGTTTCTACCGAGGCGACACCACGTTCGTCCAGGAATCCAAATCTTCCTGTGTCGTCAAAAGATACTTTAGATACAATTGTGAAAATGATCTACCCAAGTTTGTCTAAAGAAAATGTCACCGAAGTTACAAGCTTATAAACGTTTTCGAATGATTAACTATGTTGTGAGTAGTGTGTATATTGTGGTGTACAATGTATAGAAGCTACATTCTATATATTATTTGGAATTTATAAACTAATTATACTTTTAACTGTAACATTATATAAACTAATTATTATGTCGTATGGATGTACAGCTATTGTTCATTAGAAGAATATGAACACGGTTTAACTAGGAAATATTATCGTTTTCATTGTACATTACGTTATTGTACTTTTAATTGTCGTAGAGGTTGAAGGTTAAAACAAAACTGTTAGCCATGCCTAAAGACTGGACAAAAAGAAATGGCAACCCAGGGTATAAAAAGGCAAATTTAACTTGTTTCGCTTCTTTTCCTACATTCTCAAAATTTCTGAGAAAACGGTCATCAAAGTGATTTTACAGAATCTCACAATTGAAGAAAGAAATATCATAGTAAAATGCTGAGAACATCAACTTTAATCAAAGCATAACAAAGCAGTCCCCCTGACCACTGCCAAAGGAAAATTAATTTTCA